AGCTTACGATGTGAAGGTAGGGTATGCTGACGTTGAAGTAGCTGTTTGTTGCGGCGAACCATACAATCCTTACATTTGTTACCACCAATGATCCCAAGTTTCCCTCAAAGTAAGGCCGAAGCTGAAGCTAGATTTATTTTTTTCATGCACAGTAACTGCTCTACTCTGAACAACGCTTGTTCGAACGCCACCAAGGTCCTGCGACTATCTAGCATTACTAATATCCAGCGATATTAGAAAAGAATTTACAATTCTTTTGTTAGATCAAAGCTGATTTTAGTGTCCAAGATCTTCTCAAATTTTTTGAATAACTTTACTGAAGCACGTTATTATTTATAAGTAAAAAGGAAAAACAGGAATTGAGAAAATGAACGAATGAAGAATATATTGTTGAAGACTATTAATACGCTACTGGCAGGAAATGAGACGTCTCTACCGCAGTGCATCCAGTAACACTTGGAAAGTGATCAACAAGGCACTTTGAGTATTTAGCCCTTAGCTAAGCCCAATTACCATACTATCTATATGAAGCTGTTGCTCTCATCGCGGTTTCAATGACTTGTCCACACGATATTACCTTCCTCATTATGATCTATGATTAACAGGGTTGTTCACTCAGTAGTGCGTCCGACTCAAACTGAGAGATCATGGCTTCGATCACCGGTGGGAATATTTGCCTTTCCCCTGTGCGAAGCAATATATGAGTATCAGTCCATTAGAAGGAGTCATAGGGCCACGTGCTATGCTTGCTTCTCTAATGGCTGCGGTCGGCTCTGCTTTTTAAAATAAGATACTCATGGCCGACGACACGGAAACGAAAATCAGTGCCTCATTATTAAATTCTTGAAAAGAGGGTGCAATCATAAAACAGTAAGAAATATCCACTTCTTAACCCACTTCTCGTTCCTTCTTTACTTATGACCAACAAAGAAGAAAAGATGCAGCTATGCTGACCTTTGATGTTTAAACATTGAAAATTGGGTGTTGGGTTTATATCTGGCTAAGTTTATTAGTGCGAAAGTGATTGTATTTTTTCTAGTCCTATTTCTAGCAGGCCTCTCTCGACTACATAATGTAATGTTCCATACAGTTATCAAACGCCTCCCTGGCGCGATGAGTTCTTCTAACAATTTTCTGAGACCAGCTCAGCACCTGCTCATTAGTGACTCCTTTGTATCGCATCCCTTGAGGATGAGTTACAGACTTCGCTGTTGTAATCTGTCAAGAAAAGATTCCTAATAGTGAATTTTTGTAGGTTATTCCGTAACTACGAATATAAATGCCATCAAGGTGATAAAACTCGTGTCTGCCCTTGTTCTTCTATCTTCTTCACACTACTTCCTCTTGATTTACGCATTTGAAACACGAATCAAATACGCTTCAGCCATAATGGCACCGTTGTAAGTCAATTCTTCTCTAAGATGCTTGGAGCGTTCTTTGCATTAGGTGATATTTTTTGTTTTCCAAGACAGTAGGTGCACTCATGACCTCCATCTCTGTCGTAACTCAATGGCTGAAACTTAGACTACTGCATTAAAACCGATTTAAATGAAATTAATAACAGACAAGGCAAATTACAAACTGCAAACTCAAGTCAAAACAAACTTCCACGGGACTGTGTACTTTCACTGGCAGTAGCGAAATTTCCCTCGTCTCCATAGAGCCGACTTTTTCATAGTTCAGCGAACAGTCAAAATCATCAGAAATATTAGGGGCAGAGATTCCAGATCCATTGCAGCAGAGATCGCGAATTAAGTTCTGACTCAAAACTAGGTTTAGTCAATCGCTGTACAACTCGCTTGCCTGCTCCGCTGCATTTTAAGACTTCAGGTACCTCGAAGCAACGCATGCTACCCCTGGAAGAACCTTTATTTTAATTCCTTTTGTGCATTTTTTCTACTAATTCCATGTTTATGCTTTTTTGTCACTTACAGCTACTTTGTGCGGGAGAATTATCCATTGCATCACAATCTAATTG